GCATTTATTGAAACTCACAGAATGAGAATCTTCCTAGGGGGTATTTTCCCATCTAGTGTATACTGAAACAGGTGGCCTAGTTGGTTTTCCTGAAGGTTTTTGGTAACGGAAGAGTGCTCATGAAGCGTAGTGGACTTACAAAGATTGTTAGTCTGGGTAGTTCACTCCCTTGGCATATATTCATTTCATGAGATGCAAGCAAAGGCAAGAGAGACAAGAACTGAGTAATGGCTCATATGGTTTGTTCTACCTGCAAAGGTTTGCAGAAATATTGTTGGCAATCTAGTGACATGTGGTTGACTCAATTTTTCAGCTACTAAATTACTTTCTAAAAGACTGAATATTTCATAATAGTATTTTAACCCATTAGCAGTTGCCTTTAGCAGTTGAATGTTAGTCATGACTAAATTTGGCTACAAACAATACACTGAGATAGAGCAGATTCATCAAACTGTAGATCCAGAGTTTGTCAACCATGCAGGCTACCCCCTTCCAGCCAGTACAGGCTGTATGTTCGAAAGAAGAACAATTTGGCAAATGTGCATCAGTCAGGAGGATCTGGATGCAGGAAAAATGTACACATGTTAGTAGATGAGTCATCCTTGGAGTTTTGAAATGTTGTCTTTTATGAGAACAGGATAGACTATTGATTCTGTAATATATCTGAAGCTGAAAATCATGCTGAATTTTGTGCATGATTTCATCACTTAAGTAGCCTGCTCTCCTGTCATTTCTGTCACTGTTTGGTTTAAACTCTACATTGAACTGCCTTCCCTCCAGGCATGCAACCCAGATGTTAATGTCTAGGTTCAAATTTGTTGTTACATTTTATCATTCCAGACTGAGTTAAAAAAGAAAAATTATTAACTCGGCAGTTTCATTCAAATACAGACCACAGTGACAAAGCTTAGAAAGAACACAACCTCTTACCTAAATCTCTCTTCTTCTGCAGCTCTTTCATAGTCACCTTTGTTGTCTTTGTACATCCCTGGAGTGAAGTGTTTCAGAAAGGTTCGTGCATACATTTATTAAGCTGTCTCTCTACAAGAATTATGATAAATTTTGTTTTCTGATCTTGTCAGGCACTTGTCTTGTGGCAATCCATATCACAATTATTTGGAGTAGAATTTGATTTCTCGTAATTTATCAATTTGCTTTCATCGTATAGGTTTAAAATATAGAGCGAATATACCTCAAAATGTAGATTATTCCCATATGTGCTGTGAACGTGCACAAGCATGTATTCTCTTTTGGCTACCTTATGTTCTCTATCTGGGTAGTGTATGAGAGAAAGAGGAGACCAAAAGCAGCGTATTTCTTTCTTCTTGAAATCAGCATTGGTGGATCTAGTCAACAGTGAATGCTATTTCCATATCCAGTTCTTTCTTAAACTTAGTTGCTGTTTGATCTTCAGTAAGTTAATTAGCTTTTCTTTTAGATAGATACAGCAATGGTTTGGAGTTAATCAGAATAACAAAATATTCTTTAACTTACATCTTTCTGACAGCTTAGTTCACTGTTAGTGCCCCTTCTGACCTGGGTTTCTGAGAAAGCTCTGGCAAAACCTTCAAAGCTGTTCATGCATGTGGCAGCCTCAGCGTTGCAGGATGTTGGACCATCAGAAGATACTTGTATAAATAAATACTTTCCACAGCATTTTGTAGTAAATACTTGGAAATCCTTTTAGGGAAAACTGGAGTCTTTTGCACCAGTTGTCTGTAAACTGTCTTGTCTAAATCGTAGGCACGGCGTGTTTGTCAGCAGCCTCTTACCTGGGTTTAGCTAAACTGACGGGAACACACCAGCGGCTGTTAACGCACACTGTTTCGACGAGTCTTAGTCGGTTAACTTAGCACTGCCTTAGAGTGCGCAAGGCATCTCTTCGTGAGCTCCCTCCTGCTCACACCGGTGTCTTTCTTACTAATAAGAATGGTAGCAGAGGATAAGGTTGTGGCCATGTAAGGGTAGGTACCTCCTTCTCTCAGGGGAAGTACTAGCACAGAGTGGAGACACAACAGGATTGCTGCCCAGATGCTGAGTGGATGCCAAGACAGATAGGGCGCTCTGAGTAATAGCCCAGGAGAGCTTAAAGAGAGTTTTGAACGCTCTAGTTGAAACAAGCCAGCTTCCTGAACACATAACACTTCCACGGCTTGGCCTGCCGAGTGTCAGCCAGCCAGCTCTAGCTATCACCCGACAGTCACCTGGGGATTCTCAGTTGCATTTATCAGGTTCAGCTGTCAAAACAACTTTTGGCACCATAGCCAGATTCAGAATGGTATAAGAAAATATGTTGCTGTATGCATGGTTTAGTGCCAAATGCCTAGAATAAACAGGTTCTGACTTGCTGCTGCCATAGAAGGATTTAACTGCTGGTGACTTTTTGCATGGCCCAGCTGTGAGATGTAGTGCTTGCTTGAACCATAAAGAGATTGGACCTGGAGAAGGGAGCGTGATAGGGATAAAAACCTACTTTTTATTTTGCATTGGCACCTGACATCTGTATTGTAAGCTATATAGGCAAACACTGTCCTTTGTTCCAAGGCATTCAGTTCATATCTCACTCGCAGAAATGAACAAATAAGGAAGAAAAATATTTGGCTGTAGAGAAATGAGCTGTAATCTGCCTAAATAATGTTGTCTTGTATTGTATAGTGGCATTCTGTAGACCACAGAGCAAAAGTAAATCATGACAAAAGTTTTGCAGGAATATTTTGTCCTGGAGTTGCCTGGATGAACAGTATGTTGGAACATGAAAGTCTTCATCAGAGAAAAGGACTGATAGTCTGTTAAAGGCAGAATAGCTATCAGACAAAGAATGACGTCTATAAAAACTGCTAGAGTAAGGCTAAATCACAGAGGGCCTTTCAGAAGCAACTGTAAACTTGTATCTCGCAGCGAAGAGTGGAGTGGATGGAGGGATACAGCTTGTGACACTGAGGTAGGGGAGAGAGGGAGGATATTACAAAAGGGAAATGATTGATACTAGTAATTTTGGTGGAGATACAGTACATTCAGCATTGAAGTCCCACATGACAACCTGGCTGAGAGGTTTAATCTTACAGACAGAAGCAAGTCCAGCTAATAAAGCATAGAAGTGAAGTGTAGTTTGGAGTGGGGCTCTAGAGGACAGTGTTTAAGGTGATATTCAGAATACGGACGTGGGTGCGTAGCAGAGCAGTGTTGCACCAAACTCAGTTAAAGGTGAATGAAAGCTTTAACAAAAGGGAAAAGGGGAATCAAAGGTTTAAGAAGAGTTTAGAGCTAGTGGTTTGATGTTTGTCAGGAAACATTTCTGTTTAGATTGCCTCTATCTTTGGAAAAGTTGGAATTAGGAAATTCCATTTTAGGAAAGTGAAATTGATTTATCATAACAATAGTAGTTATAAATCTGCTTTTGACTGTCTACAAACATCCAGTCTAGCAGGAGATGTTCAGAGTTGAGAGCAACATAGGATGTGCCCCAGAAACTCAAAGGACATTTGATGCAAGAGGGATTTAAGCTATCCAGAGTGAGAGTAAAATCCTGACAGGCTGTCCCGTCGGGCCTTCCTCGCAAGGCTTGAGAGATATGGCTGGACAGCAAATGTGGGACTACATGTTCCTACTAAAGGATATAGAGCCCAATCTAAATACTGCGCTGATTTTGAAGATACCAAAGGAGATTAAAAAAGCACAACTCCAGGCCTTTTCACGTCCTATTCCTGATAAACCTTTCCTCTGCAAGCAGCCAAGATTCATCTGTTTGAATCTCCAACACCCTGAATAGGCTCTAACTCTGCCTGTTGCTGTTGGTTTGCTTTAAAAAAAAGCTGGCGTCGCCTTGCCTGCCTTTAAAAACCACTGTAATTCTTCAAAGCAACTTTGGGTTTTTTTCCCCAGCCTTTTTGTGCACGGTTGGGGCTGTAGGTACAGTTTTTAGCGTCTACAAAATGGTATTGGTTCCAAATTGCTCCCGAGTGTAGTCAGCGCTTGACTTTTCTGCGGCGATAAAGCAGTGGGATGCATGGATAAAATAAAAAATTATGCACTGGAGGTTGTGTAGTCTATAACAGAGAAAAATAGCAGTGATAATACTGAATACAGAGTATCAAGGTATCTAAGTGGTAAGTTGACACACTGAATTGTTTTCAAACACAAATCGCCTTATGCGGAGTTCCCTCGTACAGGAGTGGGGAGAGAGGCCCATAATCTAGATCTAAATCCATCCTCAGAAAGTTGAGAGTTAAGGTGTTACCAGAAAAAAGACCCTACATGAAATAAAAACCATAAACTTTTGCATGATTAATATGAGTCTTCTGCTTAAGTTCCTGATTGGACCTAAAACCGCCGGACCTTTTTGGAAAGGATTCTGTTCTGGGGCCAGATCTGGCCAGCGCAATGGGAGGCAATAGAAGTGACAGGTCAAGTGGCAGAGACAAAGTCGGTTAGTCCTGTTTCAAAGGAACTCTGGGTGCGTGCATGGCATAAAGATCTGAGGTGAGGAGAAACCAAATAACTTATCAAGGGTTGCACAGGAAGTCTGTGGTAAAGGAGGGCTCAAGTCCAAGACAACTACCTGATCTGGCAACCTAGCTTCTCTTTTTTCTCTCCCTCTCTCCCTAGAAAGGTTACTTTTAGCTTTAGAATCTCACTGAGCCCCTTGGAAAAGATTATTATTAATTCTGCATATGCAATTTCTCTGAGATCATCACAAAATCCTACACTTTTATTTTTTGGATGCCCAATGGATTGTTTTGCATGTATTTAAGTTTACTTTTGCTGCTGTTCAGGGTAGAGCACTTAAACGCTTTAAAAAATAACCACAGGACTGAAGCTTCTTTCTTTGTAAAGTTCTTCCTACTGTGAGGAACATTTCATTTCAAGTTTTAGTGGCTGAGCTTCATTGCCGGAAATGACTATAGTGATTGAAGTTCCTCATAGCCTGAATGCAAAGTTAGCTCATAGCTTGGTGCACTAAGGAAACACTTCATAATATATGGTGACTTTCTGCACTGGGAAATATGCAGAACCCTGAAATACATGAAAATACAGCCTTGCAGTTCCAGCTGCCTCGGGATGAGCAGAATTACGGAGCTACCGCAGCACATGCGCGACATGTTCCACACATGTCAGTGTCAAGGAACAGTCCAGCAAAGAGAGATTACGTGATAGTCGGTGTGCTGTGCTACGCAAATTTGATAAATTTCATGGATTGGTTCATTGTACCAGGTGAGAGTCTGTTTTCTCTTGCTAAGGAGAAAGAAATTTAAGTTCTCAATAGCTCTACTTACTCCTTTGCTACAAATGTTCTGTACTATGATGATATGCTTTATATCTTTTTAATTTTCTCGCTAATCTGCTTTGGCCTATTGGTCATGAAGCTTCCAGTTACAAATCTCAAAAGGCCAACAAATAATGTTAATGTATTAACAGTTAATGGAATGCTTATAAAAATCATGTCTGTGAAATGCTTAAGATTTATATTTTTAAAGCTAAACCTCCTGTAAATAGACTTGAGCCTACAGAGCAACTAGTCTATTTTTGTGTCTACAGAGATTTGGCCAAGAAGCTTCTCTTTGTTGTACACAGCAGCTTACCATGCTTTCTTTGAGTCTAATAGATTAGATGTGGCATTCCTTTATCTGAAGAATAGTGAAGTCATTCCCCTCCACTAAAATTACAAAAATATTATCTTTGTGCAAGTTCATTTAGCTCTTGGCTTCCTCATGATCTGGTGGAAACTGTGTGATTTTTGTAATGAAGAGTGTAACATGATTGTGTAAAGAGCATGGAGACCCCTGTCCCTAAGCACTGCCTACCAATTTTCTCATGAACTATAACCTTCTTCCAAAATGTCTTTTTTTTTTTGACCAGGCATGGTCAACAAAGTATCGCTTCCATTAAAGTAGTGAGAAATCTATGCTTCTGTCCCTCCATGTAAACTGAGGTCTGCATAAATTCTTCTGCTTAGCTTCCCTCCTAAATATCTACCAGACGTCCTGTGGGCTGATTTAAAATTAGGAGGAAAAACCTAATGTGAACTTTCTGTATTTTACTTCTGAGTGGCCTGGAAATTATAAATCTTTTAAAACCTTGAAAAAAACCCCCCAAAGGATGGATTGTTAAATCTGGAATTAATATCTAGTGTTAGTACACAAACTGTTCATCTTTACTACTTAGACCACTTAGAAATTTAAGTCATTCAGTCTATATCTTTAAAAATTGAGAGGCTTGTGAGATTAGGAGTTAAAACTTTTTTTTTTTGAACACTTCTTAACTACACATGTAGGAGGGAAGGAAACAAGCAGGGGTGCATGCTGGATAATATTGCAATAGAGCTACTGAAAACAGCCAACATATGAGTCCTGCTGTCAGATAACTTTCCCTGGAGTAGGCAAGGAGGCAGGAGAGGAAGAAGTCTGGGAGCAGACCTGGGCTGGTAGGAGGGCACACACAGAGGTGTTATGCACCAGCGGTCATTTATGTCCCCTCCAGGGACACAAAACAATTCGGCTAGTGTCCAGGCCTTTCAAGTAACAGACTTTAATTACAGTATAGGACTGACCCACTTTTCAGTTAACTCTGTGACTGCTTGGCCCATGGGAGAAATCCATTTACAATGCCAGTTTATACAACAGCAGTAAAGTTTTCGTCTGCTAGAACTGAGTTGCATTGCAGAATTCTTGCATTAATACTTTTGCGTTTGGCTGTCCAAACCTCTGAGCATCTTGTTAAACATAAGTTAAGAGGAAAGAGAGGGAGGAGAGGCTCATATTTGTTTAAAAGTAAGCTGGTTCAGTTAAAGAACTGTGGTTTCCAGACGGTTTTGCTCACAGGCTTTGACAGAGTTTGCTTCAATCTATACATGAAAACCAAGCTCTTCTCCTTAATAGTTTGCTGGAATTGGAGGCTTCAGTTTGTTAAAGATAGTGGTTATTCAGGCTCCTGTCCTCTCTTACCCTATGCCTGGCTGTTTGGATCAATGCTGTGTAATTTGCCTTTAAAACTCTTCTGTCTTAAGTCAGCTCAGTTATTTCAGTTATATGGAGGAGATAACATTTTAATGGTGCTCTGTATGAAGTTTAGTTTGAGCTGAAGTCACAGTTCATATTGAGTCTTTTATTAGCTGTGGTTTGTACTAAGTACTGTGTTAGCCTGAAAGTGAGGTTCCTGTTGTACAGTGTTTCTGTTTATTGCTAATCAGCTCCCCGGAAAGAAGCAGCACAAGAGTTTAGTTTGCCCTCTTTGACTTATTCAGCCTTTTCTTGCTGAAGACAGACATTCAGAAGTTATTTGTCCTTCTGAATGAAGTCACCGACTTAAACTTGTGATACCCTAAGGAAAACACTGAATGCAGAATATATGGAAGAATCATTGAGAAACAGCTGTAAAATCCCCCGTGTTGCTGTTAGGCTAGGCCTTGATATTACACAGACTTCAAAGTCCTATCAGTAAATAGTGAGAGCACTGATTATACTACAGCCACAGGGACTGCAGGAGAGCATGGATTTAGCTTTAAACCAGCTGGCACAAGTATGCTTCAAAATTAGTTGCAGCAGCACAGAAGGTGGCATAACGCACAAAATCCACTGCAGAAGCAGAGTAGATTCTGCTTGCAACTTCTCCCGGCGCTTCCGCTGCCGACCAGCTTCCATGAGCACAGCAATTTACATACAACTTTTTTTCTTAAGTGGTGGCTCCCTCTCTTGATAACGTTTGGATTTGGATAACTTTGGAAAAACTAAGGCTGAAGAAGAACAAACTTCTTCTTTAATTGATATTTTTCAATGTCATCATACTAATAGTATGCTAATTCAAAGCAATATCTTCTGCTGTTTTCTTCCCCCGCCCCAGGAACATAATGCAAAAATGCAAGATAGGTGTGATAGTAGTTCTGCAGCCTTGGAATGACATATGGGTAAAAATGCCTTTTTGTATCAACAGCATTCATGCATCCATAAGGTGCCAGATCCACAATTCTTGCCTCAGTTTGTTGCTTATGTAGTTTTCCTCCACGCCTTTTGAGAACTCCCTCATTTTTTCCACAGCTGTTGAATGGTTAGAAATTGAGATAGAATTTCAGTCAACCATTTACCATAAATAGAAATAATAATTTTTGGTCAAGCTTGGCTGTCACTGTCACCACTGAAAAGATGTTAATTTGCAAAACAAGACTATTCTCCGTATCTCAGCTGATATCCGCAAAATGGGCATGGCACCGTGATCGAATCGGAGTAACTTATCTCTGAATTACAGTAGTACTTTCCTGGCTATAGGCTGCTTTAGGCACCATCTGATAATGAAGACGGTAGCCGTTGTCGTTCTGAACAATCCAGTAGGCACCGATTCGAATGCTCTGTATACTGAAATTATTAACAGTTATTCTTAACAGAAGGAACTTCATCTGATCCTAATATTTTAAGGTTATTAAGAGAGTTTTAGGATTAGCTGTATGGAAATAGCAATCTCCTGGCTGCGAAGTTTTGCCACAGTTTTGTTCCACGTGTTTGTTCCACCGCTTACTCCCCAGCCTTGGGCTGTAAGCTGTTTACATGCTTGCGTGCTGGTGGTGCTAAAGAAATTTAAATTGTTGAAATTGTGATTGAAATACTAAGTAAACTGACTCTCATAAGATCTACGCAGTAGAAGACCATGAATTCTGTCTATAGAGATAAATTTTAATTCTCCATATATCTGTGCTTGTGGTAGGGTAATGGTTTACATGTAAGCTAGCAAGCTAAATGTACTGCAGTTCTTGTAACTCCTCTTCTTGGAGTAAATCTTTGAGCTCGCAAATGAACAGAATCACAAGGAGCGAGCAAGGTACTTCGCTGTCATTCAGTGTTTGACTCTGTTGCAGGCATCCTGTTAGATATACAGAAATACTTCAAACTTAGTGATGGGGACGCAGGTCTACTGCAAACAGGTAATAACATCTCTTTATTTCATGTAAGTTACTTTGCCTTGCATCAATGTAGTCTGTTCCTAAAATACAGTCTAGTAACTTATTTCTGTTAGTTTCTCGTGGCGTTTAGTATTGCTCACTTCCCCTTGTGGGAAAACTAACTAAAATTTGAAAGTGAAAGTCTTAGGCTCAAGGAAAACTGAAGTTCAGTCCTTTAAAAATCCCACAGCATGTGAATCATAGAAGATGAAAGAATTTCTCAGCTACGAAATACAGAACTAGAGAAATTTACCCATTTTTTATTTTTGTGCAAGTTTTTTTTGAATCAACATTCTTCTTTTTCCAAATATCAGTCTACCCACTAATTCTGCAAGCTCAGCCTGTCTTTCACTTCCACCCTAAAAAATAACCTCAGTTTGTCTGAGGGGTGAGGAGTACTATAATAACTTGACCAATATTGTCTTTGCTCCTTCTTTGATTTCCAGTCTTCACCTTGTGTTACATGCTGGCTGCCCCCTTCTTTGGATACCTCGGTGACCGGCACAATAGGAAAATCATCCTTGGGGCTGGTGTTTTCTTCTGGTCTGGTGTAACATTAGGCAGTTCGTTCATCAATAAATCGGTATGTTGCTTTTTTAGAGATTACTACTAAAATCATCTGCTTAAGTCTTGCAGTAATTGGTGGAGTCCATCTGTGATCACTTCTGGAAAAATTATCAGTGAGCACTTACTCCCCAAGCCTAGACTAAAAGGACTTAATGCAG